GGACTCGAACCGTGACAGTGGGGTGTATAATCTCGACACGTCAGCAACCACGCCATATTGTCACGAGTGCCCTTGAATCATGGTGGGATTGCCGATGAAGCAAAATTGTATTTGTTGTAGCAATCGACTACGTTACCTATATTTCGTTTATAAGTAGATTTTCAAGACTGCCAGTAGGTAATTTATGCATGAAACGTATTCCCCTTATTTCGTTTAAGGTGGTAATGCGATTAATAGTTGAAGTATTACCACACTGATATGAGTAGACCATACATTTCCGATGATTTTCACATAGTTTCGCTTTCACATCCAGTCTGGACTGCAGTTTCGACCACAACGGAACTCGAACCGTGACAGTTAAGTGTATACTCTCGACACGTCAGCAACCACGCCATATTGTCACGAGTGCTCTTGAATCACAGGAAATATGTGAATTCACAGGAAGACCAAGCCTTTTCCCATATCACATTCTTTGGTGGGATTGTCGATAAAGCAAAGTTGTTTTTGTTATAGCAATCGACTACGTTACTTATATTTAGTTTATAAGTAGGTTTATAAGACTACCAATAGGCTATTTATGCGTAAAATGCCCTTTGAGCCAAGGGCAATCGTGGAAATGTGACGTAGTAGTTAAGGTGTCTTGGTTCAAGTCCCGCTGGAGATGTCGATAAGACATAGGCGAGGCCGAAACTACAGTCCATCCCAGCCTGGATGAGACGACCTTCTGGGAAAGCAAATTCAATTGGTGTGGTCGAGCCGAGCCCACAATCGGTCTTCTGGCCGCCTGGGAAAGGGATAAACACACATTATCTCCGCCCTTTTGTCCAAATTTCAGACCTCCACCGAATCTGTATGGCTCAGACACGCCTACATGCACACAAACACACACACACACACAGAGTCAAAGTGACACAAACGCATATAGGTCGTCTGCATGTACAGCACAAATAGACTCGTAGACGCAATGGGCGCATGGGCACATGTGCTGTAGCGAAAGGACCCAGGCATGGCTGGCAAAGACTGGCTGAGCAGTTGGGCCGGCCATCCCCACGTCGGCGCATGGGAGGAGGAGACGAGGAGGAGAGAAGGAGTAGGGCGATTACAGTCGAGCGATGGTGACGGCTCTTCCGCCTGACACCAGACATGGGCTCGCATTTGCTGTCCGCCACCTGTGGCCGCGTATTTGTAAACAGCTGGTGCTCGACCAACCCTCCCGTGCCGCCACCACCACCATCGCTACAGCCATCGACCAGCTGGCGTTCTGGACGCACCCCCGAGACACCGGTTTCTGCCCGGTGGACGGTGGCCGAAGCCTTGGCTGCCCCACAGGGCGTGTGGAGAAGGAGCGAATCGACTGAAGAGCCGGAGAGTATGGCATTTTGGTATCTCCAGTCTCCAAATGAGTACTGCTTGGTCTCGCGGTGCAACGCGATCAATCGGTACTCTCGCGCCAGCACCTAAGATTGGTTGGATAGTTGGTTGCTAGTCGGGTTGGTCGTCTGCTTGACCACGAACCCGTGCGAGCAGCCAGAGTGGGATTGGCGCGAAAAGGATACAGGATGGTGTCACACATCCTGGGGCAAGTGGGAAGAAGGTGAATGTCAGCAGTTTTCTTCTTCTTCTTCTTCTTCAAATTATTGTCCTTCTATTTCTCTGCTCTCCTCTCTCCTCATTCTTTCCTCCTCTTCGATCCTGCAAACAATTTGGCTCAGAAATTGTAATCTCGATGCTGTGAATTAACGACAGAAGAGTTGATCCGCTAACCAGCAAAGCCGGGTTTGGTCTCGACCATAGCAAGGCTTGCCGTGCTTTTAAAGAGACTCCCAAATTGTCTCTTCGCTTAGCAACTTTCAAAGTTATCCTCACCTCGCCTGATTCCTGGTTCATTTGACCAAGACTCATACTCATTTCAGAAATGGCCAAAGCGTGTGTTTGTGGACGTATTGCTGGAAGAGGACTCCGTGCAACCGCATCAATTCAAGATTTACCAAAAAACGCGATCGACTTAAGAAACAAAATGAAACCAAAAGTTCTATTCATCCTAGATGGAATAAAGTGATCGTACAGTTTCCTAGAATCATATAAGTAGGCTTCAGCATTCTGAAAAGGTATCCTCTTCCAGATGAAGTGGAAGTGGCAGTTGAAGTTCCCACAGTGAAGTGAACAGATCATACTAGGAAAGGACACTCATAAAATATGAATTGGGAGATGCCTAGATTAGGTCACGCCATTTGTGAACTTGTGGTACCTGCGGCTGTGTAACGAAATGGGCATGACCCGGGTTTGGAGCCTAATTCAGGAGAGTTGGATACCAAGAGCATGAAGAAAAGCTGGATTTTAGACTTTTGTGTCACACAAAGTTTCACTTCATAGGAATGGTTGGTTGCGAGGGATTCATAAATTGGCCGCACTTAGAACAGAATGAAATTCTGCAAATTAGCCCTCGGCGACAAGAAACTTATTGTCTTAAAGGTGGTGTCGATTTTCTAATGAGTCGCTTCATACTTTGACGATGCTTGCCAATGTTGTACAGATCAAAGGTCAACACGCAGGACGGTGTGTCGAGGACTTGTTGACACAATTGTTGTGCTTAATTCCGTTTCGAGTGAAAGTGTTCGATGAGAAGATTGGAAAGTCGATTCCGCCAGAAGACGAAGGTGGATTCCTCTCGACCAGCTGTCGATTGGATTTACTGGAACATTCATTTTGACGCTGTTTCCGAGGTGAAAATGTGCTAAGCTTTCGTTCGTCATATTGCGAACACCATCAGAGCAAGATATCTTCGTTG